CGTCCCCAGCAAGGGCTTGCTCACACGTGGCTCAATTATTGGAACAGATTTGGCGTCAGGGCTGGAGGGCTGGGACAGGGGTGGGGGCTGGACTGGATGTCCCCCTGCACCTCAGCCTCCACAAGACACAAACTGGTGTCGGCAGCGGCACCTCAGGCGCCCTCCTTGGCCCAGTGGCCCGGCCAGAACGGGGTCCCCTCACTGTCCCTCCACTGGAGCATCAATATTTCAGCTCACCCACACTGGCCAGATCAATCCCCTTCTCTGCAGCCCTCAGGCAGCCCCAGCGGGGGTCTCCATGGACCCTCCCCAGGGGCACCTCCATGCACCGCAGCCAGAATGGCCCCTTTTACTTCCACACCTGACCACTCCTCGCCAAGCCGAGGCTCCCAGCGCCCACCCACCAAGGCACTGGCTTGGCATTGTGGCCCTGTAGGCTGCTGGGGTCCCGCTCCCCATTCTCCCCGACCTGATTGCTGGGGGGTGGAGGAGGTGTCATGCTGTATCTGACTTCCCGCCTCCGCTCAGCTCCCTCTCCTCCCTTCCCTACTTTGCAAAGGCCTCCTTTAAAAAGGCTCTGGGCCCTAACTGGTTTGGCTCAGTGGATAGAACGTCGGCCTGCGGACTGAAGGGTCCCAGGTTCGATTCAGGTCAAGGGCATGTACCTTGGTTGCGGGCACATCCCCAGTAGAGAGTGTGCAGGAGGCAGCTGATCGATGTTTCTAACTCTCTATCCCTCTCCCTTCCTCTCTGTAAAAAATCAATAAAATATATATATTTTTTAAAAAGGCTCTGGTCCCGGGCCCCAGGCCAGGTCAGAGCACCCACTCCTCTGGGCTCCCGCCACCTCCTGCCCTCGCCCCTGTGGCAGCTCCGCATTCGCATTATCTACCCCGCAAGGCTGGGGGCGCCCGGAGGAAGTACTGAGCCTGCATCCCGGCGCCCAGCGGCGGGGAGCCCGCTGAAAGCGTGTTGAATGAATAAGTCAGACACCGGAAAGGAGCAAATTGGTCTCAGCTGATCTCCTCGCTGCCACCAGGGGGACGCGGAGGAGTTGAGGGCGTGGTCGTGGTTGACTGACGGGCCCTCCGCCCAACGGATTGGAGCCAGCAGACCGCCCCGCCCACGCCCCGCCCACCGGCGGCCGAATAAGGGTGCGCGGAGCAGCGGCCCCGCCGGCGGCTGCAGCGGGCTCACCTGTGCAGGTGCTTCTGGCGCCCGGACCCTCCAGCACCCGCGCGGGGCCGGCACTGCGGGAAGATGCTGCGCGAGCGGACGGTGCGGCTGCAGTACGGGAGCCGCGTGGAGGCCGTGTACGTGCTGGGCACGCACCTCTGGACCGACGTCTACAGGTGAGCAGGTCCCCGCGCCTGCCCGACCACCTCGGACCCGGGCCCCGCGGGAGATCTCGGCCCCAGATGTCCCAATTCCCTCCCGATAACCTCCCGGGACGCGGGACCGGACAGCCTTGCTCCAGCCTGAGCTGCCCGTCATTCCGCGCCCGGAAAACCTAAGAGCCTCACCCAGAAACCTGACAGCCCCAAACCTTGTATCAGCCTCCCCGAAATCCGGAGACCCTCCTAGACACCCCAGCACAGCCCCGGCTCCCTCGCTGCCTCTCTCCCAGGCCCCCTCCCCTGCACCCCAGTCCTTGGCCCTCTCCAGCACCCAGGATGACCTCAGCACCCCCTCCGCCTCCCCGCCGTCCTCTCCCCTTTCACTTCCCCACTCTTCCCTCAGAGCCGCCCTTCTCCCTTATGCCCCCCTGTTCCCTGAGCCCCTCACTCTCCACCTCACCCACTCCCAGCTCAGCTGAGCTTCCTCTGGGATTTGCTGGGAGCTGCTCTGGGGCGGACTCTGGCCCTTGGGGGGTGCTCAGACTCCGGTTTCACCCTGTGGGAGCTGCTGTCCTTGGGCACTGGCTGTGGGCTCCATGTCCCCAAATGCCTTCCCTCCCCCCCCCCCAGGAGGGACCTTGTCCCACACCGCTGAGGGTGCGGAGGTGGTGTCTTTTGTCAGAAGAATGCCCCTACTGGGGACCTGTCCCCCACCCTTCTCCTGTCCGTGAACTTGGTGGGTGCAGGATTTCTGAGACAGCAGAAAGAGGAGTTGAGGTCAGGGCCCCACCACCACCTCCCCCAACCCCCAGGAAGCAGCCAAGTCGAATGATCCATCTCCCTAAGCTGTGTGAGGTGGGCCTGGTGAGGGTGTGACTGATGTCAATGAAACCGTGGGGAGTCCAAGGATCATGCGTTGCCAGGGGGCAGGGCTCTGTGCTGAGAGCAGGGAGCACGCAGGACTGAGGTGGGACCCCGTGCTGATACCTTTGGGATGGGTCCCCTAACCTCTCTGTGCCTTGAACTGAGCTGGAGGTGCCCATGTGGCTTATTGCTCCCAAATCAGTCACCTGGAGCGCCCTGCCTCTCTCAGGCCCCCACCATTCCCCATCCCCGTGTCCCCCACACACCCTCCCCAGCCCGGTCTCTCTGTCCCCTTCAGGGCCTTGGCAACGCTGCCCAGCCAGCCTCCTGCCACCTCAGCAGGCACTGGCCACGGGGACACCATCAAGCCCCAGGCTCCTTCCTGCTCACTGCAGACCAGGAACCCTCCCCACTCAGCTGCCCCTGGCCTCAGTTGTCCCACATGTGAATCGCAGGGTGGTTTCTGAGGGTCACAACACAGCAGTGGGGTGCAGCCCAGTCCTCGGTGGCCTGGGGGAGCTCCTCTTTTCCCACCCCCCCACCCTGAACTGGGCACTGCCAGGGAGCCGGCCGGGAGCCAGGACGCTCAAGCCTCTAAGCCGCTGCTGTTACCATACCCGCCTGTTTATTCCCTGGATGCAGCCTGGAAGGCTGGCAGGGTACCTCCAGTGGGGGGTGGGGAGCAAAGAAGGGGGGCCCAGCCTAATTGGGGGGAGGGAGTGTGGGAGGTGTGGACTCATCTTTGTTCTTTCTCAAGAAATCAGTCACAGCCACAATGACCCACATCTCCCACCCACACTTCACTGAGACTCCCCCCCCCCCTGCTCT